CACTCACTACACCTTTTTTCTACCTTTTCTACCTTCGTCTTTGAAACACCCTTCTGTTCCCCACCCCCTCTCGACTTTTTTTCACTTTGATGTTCCTTCCCCGCCTTCTGTTTCCCCCCTCCTCTTGACTTTTTTTCACTTTGATGCTCCTTCTCCCCTCTGTGAAGCCTGAAGTAAACTAANGAACTGACAAACGACCGGCCTACGTGGACAGTCAGATGTAACGTGCTGTTCCATAAAACGCACCTGGGAAAAAATCAATGTCGAGTATAACAATAAAAAGTACCTTAAAAGAGGGAGTTTTTATTCTGTTAGTTTAGGGGAGTGCGAAAGACTTACCTCCACATGGTGCACCCTGGGCAACGTATACTCATACGGCAAAAAAGTCTATCAAACCAGCAATTGACTTCAAACTACTATCACCCCACTGTATGTCATATTTGACTACTTCCACAGCACTCACTACACCTTTTTTCTACCTTTTCTACCTTCGTCTTTGAAACACTCTTTTGTTCCCACCCCCCCTCCCTCTCGACTTTTTTTCAATTTGATGTTCCTTCCCCTCTGTGAAGCCTGAAGTCAACTAAAGGGCTAATGATAACCATCGAAACGCCTGCCATTTGATATAAATAAATTCTGTTAGTTTAAAAAAACCCTTTGATGAACTGAGTTTATTCAAGAACCAGAACCAGTCAGGAATGATGCAAGCGAAACCTCAAGGCTAAATAGGGATCCAGATTATACCTCACATTTTCACTAACTCTTTCAAACATTTCGTCGAATTCGAGTGATTTATTATTTACTATTGTCGTTGTTTTAATGAAAGATTGCATTTTAAAAGTGAATGAAAATGTAATCATGGGTTTTCCGCCAGCTTTGTCATTTTAAGCAAATGGATATACAATGGAAAGTTGAACTAATGCATAAAGTTATGTTTGGCGTTTGACACTTGAATCTAAATAGCCCATTTCTCGGCACCTGTTTATATTGAATGCAGTGCTGTAAAGACTGCGCTTGTGTTGGCAGCAATACCCAATGGCACAAAAAGCATTCTCTTTCTCATTCAACACAAATTTTGACAAAATTACCTCAAATTCCACACCACAGTCATAGATACAAGCGACGAGTCGATGTTGGCACTCCTCCAAGTGATCCATCAAGTCCTTAGCCAATCCCGTCCAAGAGCATCCCTGTTCAAAGTGATTGCATTTCACTCCCAAATAATCCAAATCCCTCTGCATTTGTTTGTCAATAGTAACATCACTTCTTTCTAGCACATTGTCATCCACTGGGCATCGACCAGTTGACCTAAAAAACGGGATTCATATGTGGCGATAAAAACTTACAACGTAATATCAGAGTAACACGTGGAACAACAGGAGTGCCCACATATCTCGAACTTCACTGGTCGTCTCAAAATATCACTACAGGCGACGCATTTGAATTTTTCCCCTGGTGTTGGGGTATAGTAGATCTTCGCCTCGGGTCCAGAACTTCCATTCTGCCCATTCTCAAGTTTATCCCTTGATGTGTTACTATCTTGTCGAACAGCTGTGATCTTTTGAGCTAACTTTGATTGGAGGTCACTCTGTGTGTCTGCTCGTCTACTAGCCGAGGCTGGTTTAGACTCGCTTCCATTAGTAGATTCCTCTAAGTTGGAAGAGCTCATTTTAAGTAAAATGGCGAAACTTCATGCATGATATTCATTAAAACAATGAGTCAGTTGGTATGGTAACGCGGCCATGGACATGCAACAATACGTCCAGGAGGAATGTATTGTTCCGCCTCTAATCTAAAGGCGGTTGCAAATTGTTACTTTGGTTAGTTACCGTTTTCAATAGATGGCAGATGGTATACTCCGTCTATACTGAAATGGCGGCTAATTATTTCCTATGAAGTTTTAGAGCGTTCACCAGTCATTATTATTATTTCTCTATTCAACTCATGGCGTGGTAAAAGTGTCCATTTATACGTCGAAAAAATCCTATATTGCATAAAGAATCATCCGCACGATGTTTTCTTTACTAAATTTTAAATTTAAGTTATTCACTTGTAACATTTAGCAGAAAAAAAAAGTTAAAAGAAGAGAAGTCGAACGAACCAAAATAAAGTCCGATTTTTTAATCTTTCATTCAAAATTCGCATCTGAGACTTCTCCGTGGGCCTAATGAGGGTCATTGAAGTAACCAAATGGAACAGGATACATTCTCTTCGATGCAAACCCCTTTCCCATTACGTAAAATTTGTTTATGGCCAATCAATATTGGAATGGACTGGGGTGCGCGATAGACTTACCTCCGTGTGGTACACCCTGGGCAACGTATACTCATACGACAAAGAAGTCTATCAACCGGCAGCTGACTTCTGACTTCAAACTGCCATCACTCGACACTATGTCATATTACTCGTTTTCACAGTACTCATCTTACCTTTTTTCTACCTTTTTGTCTGTCTCTTTTATATCTTTGAAACACTCTTCTGTTCCCCTCCCCCCCCCCTCCACTCTCAACTTTATCCCTTCGATGTTCCTTCCTCTCTGTGAAGCCTGAAGTCAAGTAAAGGGCTAATGATAACTATCAAAACGCCTGCCATTTGATATAAATTAATAAATACTGGAATGGACTGAGTAGATAAAACGAAATGACAATGTACGTGATCAAATGGTCAGAGGGAGACAATACAGACATAATTGAAAAGGCAATTCATAAATAGGTTATGAGTTGGGAAGGCAGTCTCCGTTATAAGCAGGTACTCTGAAGTAGACATTGTTGCCATTGTGACGTATCAGATATTTGAGTTTCAAATCCCTTGCGAGTCAGCCTGTTGCTAATTATTTGTCCTTATCAAGGTTGAAATAACACTCAATAAATGTGCTCATATCCAGAACTCTAGAACTTTTCTCAATTGAATGCATAGAACAGGCAATGTCGATGAAGCTGATCTTGTTCAACTTTCTGTGAAATCGCTAACAAGATAGGCGCGAGAAATGAGGCTTTTCCTCTCACCATTTACGAGTAAACGGAAAGAGAATGGCGTGAATAACAAGTATTCTAGTTATGGAACGCTGACATAATGCTTAGTCATTAGAATATTTATTTATTTCAAATTGCATGTGTTTTGATAGGTATCATTGGCCCTTTAGTCGACTTCAGGCTTCACAGAGGGGAGGAGGAACATCAAAGTGTGACAAATTCGAGAGGGGGGAACAGAAGAGTGATTCACAGACGTAAAAGGGACAGACAGACAACAAGGTAGAAAAAAGGTAAGACGAGTACTGTGAAAGTAGTTGAATACGACATACAATGGAGTCATGTTAGTTTGAAGTGAGAGGTCAACTGCCAGTGAATAGACTTTTTTGCCGTATGAGTATACGTTGCCCAGGGTGCACCACGTGGAGGTAAGTCTATCGCACACTTCATCATTCAGACACGCAACGGCTATTAACTGCTGGTTGGCGGAGACACCTCTTCACTCACAATCGCACAGCCTCTCTGCTCAACCAGGAGTGTACCGCGCCCTCCAGGCTGTTTCCTGGGTTGGACATGGATGTCCTAGGACAAGTCGTGGAGAGAATCCTTTAATAGAATTAAACCTAATTGGACAAGATGCAAATTAGTTTAGTACTTAACTCAAGTCAAATACCATCGCTCCCATTGTTTCATTTTAAGTAAAAGCAGATACATTTCTGAGAACATCTCATTTCAATTCGATGTCAAAAATTGTGACGATTTGTTTCCTTTAATTTTCCCTGACATTTTTCCATTATATTTGCACTTCTTTTGAAGAAACTGGCAGCATTAATACCACAAAGGAATTAAAACCCGTACAGAAATGTTGAAAAAGGATGGAATGAGTAAAGCCAACTTCCCTTTCGCCTTCTCTTTTAGCCTAAAGAGAAACTGACACACACACACACACCCACCCACTCACTTGTATACTGGAGTAATCTTAGCCAGGCCAATGTTCATGTATTGTCGGTGGGAGAAGAATGGTGCTAAGTTCTCATTTGACAAGCCTGTTAGGTCATATCATGCTCCCTTGTGGAGTGAATTTCATGCCTTCTCTAGACTGTAAAGATTAGAGGATCACTTACAGGAAGTCTTAGAATTCTAGTGAATTCGGGTGGTTAATTCTCAGGCCCATTTGGGAAGACGATTTTGGACGCTTGTCACAGGTAGAGGAGGTCTGATATTCACCACTCTCCACGTTAGCCAGACTGATTGGACAATTCGTTCACTGGATGCCCACTGGCGTGGCAGATCTGAACACATGCTTTCTTTTGTTCTCTCAAATGTATTTTAGCGCATGTTAAAACGTGTGTTTCTTATTATTTCAAATGGCAAAAATTGAATTTTTCTGTCCTGTGACATCCCTCCAGCATTCCACTGAAGGATCTGTAGAGGGCGATTTCTCTTATAGCTTCGTTTCAAACTAATCATAATAAATTGAAGTCAAATGCCAGGTGATAGACTTTTTTGCCTTACGAAGATACGTTGTCCAGGGTGCACCACGTGGAGGTAAGTCTATCGCGCACCCCTACGTGTGATTCTTAAAATATATACAGTTTTTCGCAGGGCTTAATGCTGTCTCCGAAGGAGATGCGTATTGACTACAATGCGAACGAGACACCGAGATTCTGTGATTGAAAAAGATTAAATACTGTTATCCAGATTGCCAGTTAGTTTCGGAGCTGCAAGATTTGAATTTTGACCGTTACAGTCCACGTCCACGGTCTCGTTAAGTTCATCATCGTCAAAGTTTGAAAAATTGTCCATTTCGGACAAATATTGCCCAGATATCCCCGGGGTTTTTACAAAATTTCGTATTCACTTGCCTTATCTGTATGTTGAAGAGTAAAAATATTTAATTTGGTCCTCTTTCCAACACCACTGAACAACGCTTGAAAATTCAAGACAATGGCGACACAGATATGACAACCGAAGTTGACTTGCTAATCTCTCTAGAGTACACCTTCCCCCCGGGATAGGTTGAATGCATTAAAATGTTTTTCGCAAGCAGAGAAGCTCTGAAGAAGATGATATAGAACTCGCGTGTGTAACAGGCGTTGTTACAGTCACCTATGCCCTGTGATATTGCCACCAAAAGGAGCATTCTTTTGTCCAACATGGTAATTACAGTAACGCTTTGACAACAACATGAATCTGCGGTGTAATAAATGTCGATTTAGAACGTAGAGATTAAATTACAAGAACATAGGAAGCATGAAAGTCGTTTTGAAGGACTCGAATGTTGTTATAATAAGGATTACATCTATATTCGATGGGGTGTGCGATAGACTTACTTCCACGGGGTGCGCCCTGAGCAACGTATATTCATACGGCAAAAAAGTCTATTG